TGTAGCTGATGGCAGCTGAATCTGTTCTTTTGTTGCCTCATGTCGGTGACTAAGAACTTAAAAAGCTGTTTTTACGTTGAGACCCTTGAAAAAGGGTGTTTTTAATGTGTGGCTCGTACCTGTGGATTCGAGGGAACAGTGTGATATCTTCCTAAACAGGGCTTAAATTTCCTGCATTTTGTACATCTTGCGGTGTATTAAATGTTGGGATATCAGTAGAATACATACACATCTGTGGTGAAGAGTAAGTTGGGTTTTGTGTCTGTAAAATTCTGCATAGATGTTATGTGACGGTGTTTTATCTTGCTACAGTGAGGCTTCTTAAGTAAGCCTCCTGGTTTATTTTAAGCACTAGTGTCATTGTGGCTGTAAGAAGACAGTGTTAGCTGAAACTTCTCTGCACGTGGCTGCACTTTTGTGCTGTTTTACTGTCTGTTTCTGTTGGAATCTGCTTCTGAACTCTGCTGTTGTTTGGGTCACAAGAGTTCTTGCCTGTGGAAGAGCCTTTCAGTGGTTTCTAGTTTGTTTAAAGGACTGTACATAAATGGTATCTATAGCAGTGGAGGCCTGAAGTGGCACAGTGTGATTCCCATTGTTGCTGCCTTCCACTCTCAGGAAGGAGAAAAACCCTAACATTAAAAGTCTAAATTGGTGTTTTTCTGACTTGTAGTTTGATTTTTTTTTTGTTTTTTTTTTTATTTAGTTGGGAGTGGTAGGGTTTTTTTTTTTTATCTGTAGTTCTACCACTGCGTTCTTTGATTTGTCTCAAGCTTGCCCATTTTTTGGATTTGCTGTAAGCGGTTGAACTCGGTATCATGTTTGTGATGGCTGATCGGGTTTCTGACAGATGTGGACAGAGCAAGGAGGAAACGTGGGTGCGTAACCCTCACTGCCAGAGGCCTGAGTCTTGCGGGAAGTGCGTTTGAATGTTACGTATTTATCACAGGCCATATCAAGGGGCAGCACGTCACGATAACGGGGTGAATGTTGGCTTGAAGGAGTGGGTCAAGAGAGCGTGGTCTGGGACACAAGTTGCTTGAGCGTGGCGCTAGAGTAGCAGCAGGTAGCGAGGATAAATTTCCTGGAATGATTGTAGTCTCTTACAAACGGCATTGCCCTCGTGTATAGCATCTTAACTACAAAGATTTAGCTGTTTATTTTTGGTTTATTTCATTACTTGTGCTGTAGGGAACACCAAGCCCTGTTTTTGTGCAGTAACGTGCAGAAGAGTGTATGTGGTGACCAGGGAAGGTAGAATTTGAGTAGGAAGCTGTCTTTAGTCAGGTGTAATGTAATGCTTCAAAAAGCAGCACCTGAAACAAATCTTTCCTTCAAACATTAAGTGCTGCAGTACCTCATTTACTCAGAACTGCCATATTTCAATTTTAATTTAACTTCCAAGGGGGTAGAAACTCGAGAACACAGGTAGAACAAGCAGACACTGGCATCCCAGGCAACTTGGAGTCTCTGAATGTGAATTTGCCTTCCCTAGTGATGAACGTGGCTCTTCATCTCCTCTTGTTTCCCACTCAGCAATGTTTGTGTTTTGGAGGACTCTGTCAAAACACTGGAGAAGTACTTGGTGTGTGATAAAGCCAATCCCACAAACTGCCTCTTGCCCTGTCTGATCTGGTTTCTGATCTGATAAATGTTTGGATTTTTGAAGCATGAAAATTCTTTTCTGTAAGAGCTATGTGAAGACTAATGTATATGGAGAGTGCCATGATGTCTTGAACGTCAGCATTTCTTCTGAAAATAGAAGTTTGGTGTCACACCATGCTGTGAAGGTCTTGGATCCCGACTTTGTGATAGGTGCTGGTCGTAGAGACCCCACTTAAAGGCATTTGATTTTCTTCCAGATTGCACTAAAGAAGTGAAGTCATGGCTTGTAATGTAGGATTTAGAACTTAAGGCCACTGTAGAAAGTCTTGGGCATCTGTTAGAATAAGACTTTTGAGCCTACAATTTATTTTTTATTTAAAAAAGCTGAATGTTTGCTAATGTTAGTTTTGACTTAGTAAGTTTGCAACTTGGCTGCTTATATTTTGCTGGCTTAACTTTGTTTACAAAGCAGTTGTAGCTTTTGCCGTGAAAATCTAATCTTTCCTAGGGTAATGATGCCTGAAATTTGCCCGGGCTACCTCAGCGGTCTGTGTGTTTGACCTCGTAACTAGTCCTTTGTAAAGCTTTCTTTTTACACAAGAAGAGCAGGTGATTGACACAAAAGCTGGGCTCCTCACCCCTTGGAAGGACTTCCTCTAGGGATTTCATGGAAGTGATTGAAAGAATATAGTGAATTTACAAATGGGCTCCAAAGCAGTGTTTACTGTGAGCTGCTGTGGAGTATAAAATGGCTTGAGAAATAATCTGTCGTGTTGCCATTCCAGGAATTAGCATTTGTAAGTCTTCTGGCCTTTTGATTACAAAGCCACAGAGGCTTAGAGTGAGTAAAAGTAACTAATGTGTGAGTGTGTACCTGCATAGCTTATACTCCAAAATCCGCAAGACTTTTAATTAAGAATCAGTTTGAGATGTTTTTAGTTTTTTGGTAGGTTGTATTAGGTTTGAAGTGCTGCTCTCTGACATTGTAGGTTTTAGTGCTGTCTTTTGTGGACCAGGCAGTAGTGCCTTAGAGTAATAAACATGAGAATAGTGGTTATTTTGGGTTGCTTTATTTTGAGTGTGAGAAAACTAGATTAGATGTGTGTCTCAACTGCTCACCTGTGAACCAGTATCTTGGGCAGCTGTTATTAAGTGAATATCTTAATAGTGTTCTGGGCAAATGGCTGTTATGTTGGATTTCATTAGTAAAGCAAGAATATGAACAGCTGTTTTCATCAGTTGTGCCAGATTTTTTTTAAAAAGTGAAATTTATGGAAATGGAGTAAATGGAATTGGAGCTGGGTATCTTAATGTCTTTTAATGGAGCAAGAGCAACATAGCCGTTATTTTCATAAAACTGAAATAGCTGTTGGCAAAGCTCTGATAACAAATCTGTGACAAACAAGATGAGCATAATTGTGTAGAGCATAGGGTTTGTCCCACCTGTTACTGTTGTCTGCAGCTTACTCATACTTAAACCAGTAGCCAGAAATGTACTTGCTGGAGTTTGAAAGCAATCTAAGACAAGGCATTTAATAAGAGTGTTTCTTAGAGGCACAGTTGCAAGCCATGTGCCCAGGCGCCCTGTTACAGCAATGGAGAAAGAAATTGCGTTTCCTGGTAAGATTAATTGCAAATAATGTGTTTTAAAGCTTTTGTCTATCTGATTTGCAGTGCAGTCTTAAGTGAGGAATTAGACTTCCTTTGTAAATGGTGTGTTGCCTAACTGAAAGACATTGGGTTCACTTGTGTTCTAACTAGTTTCAAAACTAGTTAGAACCTCCTGTAAACTGCCTCTGCAGTTGCAATTTGGATGAGAGTAGAAGGATTCCAAAGGAATCTCAGAGTTGTCTGGAAATTCCTTACCTGTCAGAATGGAGAAGAGCAGTTACTCCTTTTCATGTGGCGTTTCTTGCCTGTACTGATGCACTCAAAACGTGTCTCTCGGTGCACTGTTGATTTAAGTGCCTTCCTCAGACTGACAAGCTCAAAGTGTGCTTTTAATGTTACTACCATATGGTTTTGTAAACAGTGCCGTGGTGTTGACCTCGTGTAGTAAATACTCTTTAGGTGGTGCTCGAGTTGCTGTTGGCTTGTGGATTTGTAGAGAGGTGGAACTTTTTAGCCACTACTCTCTTCAGGTGTAACAGGACTCATCTCCAATGCTCGCTAACTTGTTACAGCTGACTTGGGACTGCCTTACAGTAACCTGTAGAAGATGTGCTTTTTTCCATCGGGGACAGGAAGCTGTGTCCGTGATATGCTGTACTGTACAGTGCTTTATCTGTAACACTAAAAAAGCTGTTTTTTCCTGTCTTCTTGCAGAAAGTGTGGATGCCCATCAGCGAAGCTTTGATGTAGGAATTCAGATTGGCTATCAGCGTCGGAATAAGGATGTGTTAGCTTGGGTTAAAAAACGCAGAAGAACTATTCGTAGAGAAGACTTGATCAGCTTCCTATGTGGAAAAGTTCCGCCTCCAAGAAATTCTAGAGCTCCCCCAAGACTGACTGTAGTATCCCCTAACCGAGCTACTTCGACAGAAACTAGCTCATCTGTAGAGACTGATTTGCAACCCTTCCGTGAAGCCATAGCTCTGCATGGTAACAGTAATTTTTTCAATACTACTTGGTTAAAATTGGGCGGGGGTTCTTAAAGCATGTCTGGCTCTTGGCTGTTGTCGGTGTCATGTCATGTACCTGATGTTCCAGCTGAAGAGAGATTCCTTCACTCTCTAAGGGAGTTTTTGCATGTATAAGGCACGTTAGCTACTAAGAAGTTGTGTAATCAAATATTTTGAATGAGGAGAAGGTATTGTATTTAAAATGAGTTTTGGATCACTAATCTGCAGCTGTGAACTCAACAGTTAAATATCAACTCATGATAGTAGAGTTTTTGAAACATGAGGAGACTTGGCATTCATACCAGTGCTAATGCAAACAGAATTCTTGGGGAATGATAATACTGTACTACCACTCAGTTAAATACTAAGATGTGGCTAGTAGCAAAGAGCTAGCAGATTTTACTGGGGTTAGGGAAGGAATTGAATGCCTGAAGCTTCTGCCTCTGGGGTGCCTTACCCCACTGCAGTACCCTTGATGTTTGCACTGCATAATGTGGTTTTAGCTTTCCGCTTAAAGTAGCCTGGGAAGGGTACAGCACTTGCACATCAGGGCGATAATTGAGTCCTTTTAAGAACTTAGTTCTACTTCACTTTCAGACTTAAAAGTCTTCCAGCGTCTTACTAAATTTCCATCCTTGACACCACCGACAATGCTGTTGGTGTATTTCTTTTTTTTCTCCTTTTCATATACAAGTATTCAGTAGCTTATCCTGTATTGGACTATTATGTAGCAATTGATAAAGGTTTTAAATTGCTACTGAGATGAAATGCAGCTGTTCACCTGTGGGTTTTATGCCTTCTAAAGAGTAGCAGATATCTTGAGGTATAAACGGACTGTTCTAAAAGTAAAAATCAAGCTCTCTAGAAGTATAACCTGTGAAACTTAAAGGAGGTTTTTACTGTCTCAATATTCTCGGTGGGGGATGGAATTAAATCATTTAATTAGATGAGTAGATTCATGAAAATGCAGTCTTTGCTTCTGCTACCCTGGGGTGGCTTTTCAAGATACATAAGCCAGACACTGCTACTGTCTAGGTGACAACCTAATTCTGGCATTGTTTGCCACACTGTTGCCATTTAAATCAAGTGTGCTTCCACTCAGTCGTGGAGTTTTTGGCAGTTTTCCTTCTGCTATTGGAAGCTGGCTAAAGAATTCTGTGCACCAGTATTGCTTATTCAGTAGGTAAAGCTAACTTCATGAGGAGAGCAACTGCGGAAGCTGTCTTACCTGGTAGGATGTGAAAAGCATACTCTAAAATCTTGGGATTTTTGAAACTGTAGTTGAATCTGGTGTGCAGTTGGCCTTAACTACAAAGGCTTGTATCTCTGGTGAACTTAAGCAAGGTAGACTCTTACCAGCCACAGTGAGCTCTGAAGCAGAGAAATCTCACAGTATTTTTATTAGTAAAAAGGCTGTTTTGATGTCCTTACATCATTTTGTATAGAGGTGGCTTGTGGGCATCGCTTCTCTATAGTATGGGAATCTGAACAATGAGGTGTAAACTTTTCTTTTGTATTTCATAACCTAGTACAGGATCACAAGGAGTCCATGAAGTGCTCTGTCCTGGCACTGCAGGGGCTAGGAGTGAACTCTTCCCCTTCTTCAGCTGGCTGACAAGATTACACGTCAGTCACATTCTGGATTAGGTTCTCCTGATATCAGTTACAATCTGGTGTTGGGCACAAATGCTTTTGTGCTAATCCTTTAGTGACTAGGCTTGTATGTGGCCTCAGAACTGTTTTTAGGTTATTGCCTACAATGCCTGCGTTCCTCCAGCTTTTCCTCCCGCTCTTTCCTTTAAGCAAATTGTGACGAAATCATCTTCCAAACTTTTCCTGTTTACCATAGGGCTTCTCAGAAATGTGCTTTGATTTTTGAAACCTGTGTAGGATCTTCAGGTGTGTGTAAATTAACATCCTCTGTAGGGCTACACTTACCTGAATTTTTGGCAGGCTGTTTAAAAATGATTTGCTGCTGTTAGGTGTTGTGAGGAAACATGAGAAAACCTGATGATAGTGAGTAGCACTCTCAGCCAGTGCTCAGACTAAGGCTTTAAGGGGAATTCTTGACTGGCATGTGAAGGAGTAAGACTTTGCTTTGTGCTGGTAGCTTGCTGTGGAAATGGAGTGTTTCTCTGTTGGTAGGGTGGATTAGGTTTGGGGGATAATGCTGAAATCTTGCTGCTCTAAGTGAGATCTCTTAGCAAAGCAAGAATGGGTATAAATCTACACCACCAAATAAAGCTCTGTGGAAGCAAACGGGTTTGTTGACTTCTCAGAAATAGATACGAATCGTGTCTAAAGACCACGGTGCTGTAACTTGCTAATCTTGCTCTATGATGAGGGAAGTACATGTATTTTGATTATGCAACCTCTAAATGCTTCATAATCACACCTGAAAACTTTGACAGAAGCTGTAGTAACAAAGTAGCTAATAATTAAATATTTCCTGGAATATCAAACCACAATTCTAGCTGTATGCCCTAGAATAAAATCTTGGAGGGGAGTATCTTAAAATTATGTGCTGCATCTGGAAAGAAGTCTGTTAAATTGAATATTTAGCTTAACCCCTAATATCTCAAACCTCGTTACAGCTCTGCAAGGTAGCTCAGAGTTTTCTTGAGAAGCAGCTAGGGATTTTGAAACCAAAATTTAATCTTATGGTATTATTATTGGTAGTCTTTGAACTGTAAGGAAACTCGTTCTCCTGTTCTGCTTTCAAGACCTGCTGCATTAGCTAATAACGACAAAATTACACTGACAGAAGAATGTTTAAGATGTGATTTACCTTTTAACTCTATGGCATGTATATTGTGCAGCTGTTGCTGAAATCTTTAGTGTAACTTAAGGGTCCTTGAGAATGAGTTTGTTTGGAACTAAGTACTCTCTTGGTGGAGTAAACTCTGGTAAATAAAAATCTTTGTTCTTAATACCAGCTTTACCAGTGTGCTGATGAAATAAAAACCCCTTTGAAATAAAACAGGGCTCAAAACTTGAACTGTGAATGCTGGAAAAGAAATTAAAACTTTGGAGAAGCACGGAGTAGCTAGCTCAAAGTAGTATGTGCTATTCTACTCTGGAGTTCAAGTGGATTTTTCTGAAACTTCAGGAACTGGCCATCTGATGATGGTTACAGTTTTAAGATGTGGTAGTAGAAGAGAAATACCGTTTTTTTTTCTCAACATCTCAAATACAGAGTTGGGTTTTTAACTGACTTGCCCCAGTCTGCTAACGTTATTGTGGTTAGCAGAGGCATGGGTTTATCTTCACCTGCTTTCTGGGTGCATATTGCCGTGTCAAATTGTTTCAAATGACAGAATTGCATCAAACTGAGCTAATAGTCCTAAGATGTCCAAAAGCTGACCTGTGGCAGGTCATTTTGTGCCTGGCTGTAGGTAGCACAGAGCCTTGCAGTGCCGGTGTGGCTGTGCAGTGTGTGCACCTCAAACGATGCTTTGGTCTGTTCTGTGGGAGTGCTCTGTGCTTTAGAAACCCTTCTCCCAGCACAAGGGAAGAAAATGCTGTGATTTGAGAAGGGGACAGAAGCAAGCTCGGGAAGGCAGCGCTGAAAGGTGTTAGACTTGAGCATTCCTAACTAAAAAAATGATGTGGATGGGCATCAGCGCAGTGAAGGGAATGCTGATTCTTTTGCTCCTTAGCATTAGCGTTGATGTGTATCATTAATGGGATGCAGTGTGGGGGAAAACCCTTGCTCTAGCGGGCAAGGTGTGTGGCTTGGCCACTTCGGAGAGCCCGAATTTCCATTAGGCCTCCTTATTCTCTTCAAATAATAAGTGGCGATATAAACCATCAGCAGTTGTTAGGGTGGAGAAGCAGTTGGCAGAAGAGGGGATGCTAGAACGGAGTTCAGATTAGTTTGAAAGCTTAATTTAAAGGTTATGTGTGTGTATATATATATATAGCAGTCATGAAGTTGTGTGTGGTATGTACTGCTAAAAGTTGCTCTTGGAGCAGTACTGTGAGCGGGTGATTTACGACGGAGCAGTGACGAGGATCTCTGCATGCCGTTTTGTATTTATCTGGGGTTATTAACTAATTCCTGCTTCAGTCACACTCATCTAAGCGTGAATGTTCTTTTTGATACTTCCTGATGAGACCAATAGTATTATTATACCAAACGGTAGTTGTCCAGTGTCTTATGCTGTGGTAGTGACCTGAATAACTCAGACATGGTCATGGTGCAAGTAAAAAGGCATTTGGAGTTTGTTAGGCCAGTGTTGATAAACTTGCTAATTTTGAGTCGACAGTTTTATTTACCTTTAAATATTTTATACTCCGTAAAACATACACTTATAGCCAGGCATTCTAATGACTTGAGTACTTGGTTATAAATTAGCTAGTATTGGTCACAAATTCCTTCTTTACTGCAGCTTTTTCTAATAGAACTCTAATACATGATTTAGAATATGGCTTCAGATAAAGGCAGGCGTTCCTTGTGAAATTACTGGCTGTGAAACACCATATTGTTGATGACAGATACGTCAGGAATGAGAGTAAGTACTGCAGAGTATTTCAGATATACCCTCTACTTCAGTCCTTTAGGGTTAATAGAGCCACGTGTCCTTTCCTTAAGACCTCTTGTGAGAAAAGAAATGTCTCCTGTAGAAGGCAACGGGAGACTTCGGAGATGGTCATGAGACTGTGAAAGAAGTGAAGACGCTTTAGGAGCTGTTTGAATTTCTGTCTTGTTGTATGGACAGAGCTGATTTGGCTGTGAATAGGTCATGTTAATCATGATACAGAAATTTGAAGTTGTGAAATAGTGCTGCAAACAGTCATGTCGTTGTGCTACCTCCTGGTGCCTACCACTGCTTGCTTTACTGCTTTAGATGGTTAAATGCTTCCAGAAGAGATCTCAGAGTCCGTTGAAAAATTAAATCAGAATGATTCGTAATAAATGGGTTTGATGAGATTTACTCTCTGCATTACCACAACTTTCCAAGAAAAAATGAACTGTGGATCACAGTTCATGAAAGATGCTTTCTCTGTCAACAAAAAAATACTTTGAGTTGCATTGCTGATTCCCTTCAAAGATGTTGCTTCCATGAAACAAATTGGTATTTCAGTGCATGCCTTGAATTTTTTTTTCCCACTCTTCCACGTTAACTTGATTACCCAATCCTAAACTGTCATCTGAATGTTTCATTTGACAGTTCTGCTCTCTGGGATTGATGTGTAGCGCTGTGTAAGATGGTTAACTGCCAGTAACTTGTACCAAATTGTCACTCAGTCTTCTGGCGTACTCGGTAATGACTGTTAACTCACTAGTCCAGTGTTAAGTACCTGCAGCGGATGCAAGGTTAAACTGCTGCTAGCAGTCTCTGTTGTGATGCAGTATTGTTGTGCTCCTATATGTAGAAATTAATTCAAATCTACTTTCCTGCTTTTGACACCCGATTTGATTTTTAACTGAATTATTTCCTGCAGGTTGGTTGTGTATTTAAATGCGCAGTGATTCAGTACTACCTAAATATTGGAAAGCCAATGCCTGCTTGAGGCACTGCTTGCAAACCTTGGCAGGCTGCTTTAGATTATGCTCCAGCACATTACAGATGCAGCTCTTAATTCTGACTTTTGTATCTGTTTTAAAATGCTTGTTAGTTCAAAAGGCTCTGCATAAAAAAACCATAGTTCTTGAATGACAACAGAAAATGTATTCTTGCATCACAGGTTAGGTTTGGGGTTGATGTAGGAGAATTTTTCTCTCCTTACTTGGGCACTAGATACAGTGAAAAGATGTCATGATAAAACTGAATTAGCTGGTTGTAGATTGTATATAAGAATAAATGTGTAAGTGGTGTAAATTGTTGACACTCGATGGAAGTAACAGTACTGAACTCTTGTGTTCAGAGCAATTGTGGTTGGAAGTGATGTGGGGGGAAATCTCTGCAATGAATTTGGGTTTAAAACAATGTCACCTGCACACTGTCAGGTTTTTTTTTCCAATTCATGTACAGGATGAATTAATGCATTTCTCTAATGTATGTTACGCCAGCTGAAATTAAACTTGCTATTGTCTTTGAATTGTCAAGTGATTTGTTACCTGCCCAGATTTTTCACGTTGGTGGCTTATCTGAGTTGTAGCACCTGAACTGGCTTTTTGCTTGTACATCTCTGTTGTCAATAAGCTGCTTTACTTGCTTTGGTAGATGTGTAGGATGTGTAGATGTTTTGAATTTAAGCTTGACCTTAATCCTGGAAGTACTGGAACAAACCTGAACTACCTTTCCCTGCAAGAATTTCTGCTGTTTAAGTCCTTTATGCCACTGTGAGTGAAAAACGATTTCAGTATTAATATAAAACCTACGACGTCGCTGTCGGACTTTACACTGTGTTTGAGTCCTGTTGGAACACTACGTAGAGCTGTAAGCAAAAGCTCTAAGAGAGCACCGGTGATGAGCTGCTCTTTCTGCTGGTCCTTGTGTAATGCCCAGTCTGTGTTAAAAACACATCCTGTGCTGTTACAAGGTCTCAGCTTTAAATATTCATTCAGCAGTAGCGAACAGCCGAGTGAAACAGGTTGCCCTGCTCTGTCCTGACTCAAATACCAGCCTGTCATGGCTGCAGATGGCTTCAGAATGGGTCTTCTCATTGAGGTTTCTGGCAACTGACCTCATAGCTCTGGAAGGCTTCAAAGAGCCTCTGAAGTTGCTTGTTGGGCCTGTCAGCAGCTCGGAGAGAGGGTTTGGTTAAGCTTTACTTGTCAGTGCGTGACCCTTACGAAAATGTGTACTTAGTGGCTTTGCACACGCACAAGAAGTTTGATGGCTGGACAGAGGTACAGAGTGTTTGAGACCGGACAAATCCTCTGAGAGCACTCAAGATGCTGCAAGTTACTGAGGCGTAGATCTTCCTGGAGAGCTTAACACCTGCTGGCTCTTTTTCCTAAGAAAAAGATACGGTTCTTGTTCTGCTGTTCTTCATCTTCTTACCTGACTCCTGCTTTGGTAGTTTAGTTCTAGGGCCAACAGATGCTTTTGTGCGTTTCTAATAATCCTCAGGTTTGAAGCAGTTAGAATAGTAACGATGTGTGCCTTATCTGTGAGCTCTGTGTTTATCTACAAATGCAGCCTGAATTCTGAACTGAAAGGAGTTGTTAGGCTTTCATGTACTAGCACTGACTAAACTTACGCTTTGGCATGTCCTACCTTTGCAAAGGTGTAATAACAATGTTAAAGGTGACAAAGTTTTTAAATTAGCATGAAGTTTGCTTTCTGGTTTATGGCTTTGTTTCTCCAAGAAATAAGCTTGTATTTTAACTACACGTTTGATTAATGACATGAACACAAATCAAAGTAACTGCAGGGTGCTTGTGACTGTTTTGGATGAGATGTGTCAATAGCAAATTTGGGGGGTTTGTTGTGTGTTCTTGCCTGGCCGATCTGTTATTTAAGTGCTCTTGCATTCTGACAATACTAATGTGCTGGCTAATAGCAGCAGCTGTGAAATAAAGCTTTTGTTTGAAAACTAGCTGTGGTGTACACCTGTCTGAGATCTGCTGTTACACTGCAGGTTTTTTTAGAACTACAGTGGCTGAGGGGGCACAAGGGAGAGGGTGGTGGTGTTTGAAGTGAGACCAAGTCAGGTCAGCCTGGAAAGTACTGGGTACAAGTTTTTCCTTCTGTGTAACTATCGGTATAGTGTGAAGCCTTAATATTAAATAGTCTTTATATTAATTACTCTTTAATATGTATGCATCTAGAATAGCACGTCATGCTTCTGGAGCTAGCGTTTGCTGTGGTGTGCTGTTACAACCTGGTGTGTAAACTCACTTTTAATGTCGTAAAAAGCAGTTTGGTAATTGCTGGATTCTTTCATGGGCTAAAAACTGGGAAGGTGTCTTCTGGCCTTCAGATAAGTGTGGTGCAAACCTAATAGGGTGAAGTGCCTCTTAACATCTCCCTGGCACTCAGATGAGACGTTGTCCCTTCTGCCACACATGGGAAACTTGACTTTCTGTACTGTTTGTCCTAAATACTGTTTCTTTTTTTCCCCTAGGTCTTAGTGGTGCAATGGCTAGTATAAGTGTTCGCTCAAGTACCCCAGGCTCGCCCACTCACGTGAGCAGTGGCTCCAATGCTAGTCGAAGGAGAAATGGACTCCATGATGTTGATTTGAACACTTTCATATCAGAAGAAATGGCACTCCACTTGGACAATGGTGGAACTAGAAAGCGTACCTCAGCCCAGTGTGGCGATGTCATTACAGACTCACCAACTCATAAACGCAACAGAATGATCTAAACTGCAAAAATTTCAAACCCACCATGCTGCTTGAAAGCCACTTGATCCTCAGAGTACTATTAAAAAGGAAACATGAGGCCATCTTTCCATATTCACTGTTTAAGACAAATGAATTCAATAATTGCCATAAAGGAAATTTTAGATATTACGTTAGATGCCTCTTGTAACTGCGGCTTTCTTAAACTATATTCTTAGCAGAGGACATCAGATATTGTGTAGTAGTTAGCAAGATCATCATAGGCGAACATGTATCCGTTCCAAGGCTAAAAGTGACCTTACTTGTATAATTAAAGGGAAAGGAAATTTCAGATGTTTATTTGGTTATAGAATGCTTTTTTTTTTTTGTCCTTTATTTCCTGCTGTGTTGAGTATTTGCTTAAACAGTATTGCCAGTTTGACTGAAATTGTCTACGACATAACTTGGCATCTTTGTCAAAACTGCAGGCTTCCATTTTTGCAGCACTGTACCATGCACCTAGTTTCTATATAGTAACAGTGTGCAAGTTATAAATATTGGACTGTACCCTTTTTAGTTTTAAAAGCAGTTGATAATTCTGGTGATTGTGTGATAATGTAAAGAGGTGCTATGATGGTCATGCAATTAATACTTAATATTGAATCAATACAAGGATCTTTATTGGATTCACTTTGTGTGTTTTAGTGCTCTGAAGTAGCAATATTAAACTTTCCCCGATTAACTTCATAGGCTTTTAAATCAGTTTGAGAAAATATATGTACTTCTTGGTATTATCCTCGTGGTAATCATACAAGTGCAGACTGCACCAATGCTGACCTAAATTTAGAGAAAGATGTCCTGTAATTGGAAAATAGGCTTTTCTGTTCAGTATTAGTGAAGGGTAGGTTTTGTGTATGCCCATATCCCATTTGACATTTCTTGTGAAGTAATTGCCCGTTGCTGGGGAGGGGTGGGAGGAGAGGGAATGAGGGGGAATAGTTGGAAGAGGGGTGTGTTCTAACAAGTAAGACTTCTGGTCACGTGCGGAAACTTGGACTAACTTAAAACAAGATGCTGTGTGATGCCATCTCCTGCAGGAGGGAGTGACATGCAGGTTCTGTGAAGTGCTAAGAAAATAATTTAAAACTGGAAGTTGATTATAAAGCTCTGGATAAAACATGTCGTCAGGATGAATTAAAAAGGATAAATGGCTTTCTTTTTGTGTTGAGCTTACATTCATAGGATTGAACTCTGGCTGCCATAACTTCAGTGTAAACCTAAAACTGAACTAGAGATCAAGACTGATCTGCTGCAAATCCATTTCTGAGTGGGGAACAAGATGTGTCGGTCTCAGAGTGCCCGAACTACTCGTACATGTACACGCAGCAAATTTGGTGGAGAGCTCTGGCTCTTAGGGCCTCGAAATCTCTGCCTAGGAAAGGGGTGTTACGGGAGGAATGAGGAAATGAAGAGCTCCAAACCTGGAAGTTGGGAGGAGGGGTGTTAGTGAGGAGGTACGCATGCTTTGAACGGGAAGCATAGGCTGGTTCTGGGGTGAAACGCAGCTCTGCTGGATTCGCGATGCTGAGGGAGTTGTGGTGGTCTGGCTAAGTTAAGGCACCTTGAGCTCCATGTTAATACACAGCTCTTCAAGACGTTTTGCTTTTTTGCTTACAGTCGGATCTTTTTTGTATTATCTTCCCTATTTGAGGCAGACTTCACTGTAGTTTTTACTCCTTTTTACCCTGGTGTCCTCTCACTGCTGTTCTGTAGTCGAGGCAAGACAGCAACGATGCGTTAAATCTCAGAATTCAAGGCTCTTTACCAAGAGCGTGATTTCCTTGCTTCTGTGGTGCTTCCATCAGATTTCTTGAGATCGAAGAGCTCTTGAAGATGTCAGCAGTTGCACAACACTGTAGCTAAGAGGTTCTGTAGTTTTACAAAGGGCAAGTACAAGAAGTGCCCAAAGCCAGATGGTAAAACTGCTGAGAACCACCCCCACCTGTGTTCCCTAGCTGAACCTGCACATCACTCGAAGACTCAGTATACGTTAATTTCAGTTACTGCTATTAACTACGATTCATAAGACTTATTTTGTGTAAGATACCGATACTGCGTAAAGCTAGTTTTTGTTTGGAGACTGTGTTTTCCGCAAAGATTTTTTTTTTTTAAGGTGGTATCTAAATATTTCTGTTGGTATTTATTAGGCTGTTGGCAGAGGGATTTTTCTGTCCCGAAAGAAAAATCTGGAGTCCTGAGCAGAAAGGATACACGAGAACCATTCTTCAGCTCTTCTGTTTATTCATTAACTACTTGTACAACTAAGATGCTTATGCTCTAACGCACTTTACTATTGCGTGTGGTAAAGGTAACATCAGTTCTGCACATAAGGACTGAGTGTAACAGTGCTTCTGGCCTAGCCCGGATATACAGAGCCTGTTCAAATTATTTCTCCCCTTTTTGTGGCAAAATAAATTCTATTAATGCTTTGAAGCATTAATTCAGTCTAGTACTGTCGATTACTAAATTTATCTGGCTTTTTGTTTAATTTGTGCCATTTTTCTTTGAAAGAAAGCAGGCTTAGATATAAAACATTGCATTGTCTTTTTTTTTGCTTGTACCTTGAGTATTTGGCAACTCTTGGATTGTTGTTTGTTTTTTTTGTTTAGCCCCAACTGTTGTTGGCTCTCTGTTAACCTCTGCCAGAATGATCAAAAATGCATGTATTCACCTGGTAAGCAAAAGAACAGATTGTCTCTCTAAAAAAAAAAAGAAAAAAAAAATTTTTAAAAAAGTCTAGTACCTGTTGCTTTGAAGACTATTTCATGTGCCAGTGTAGAAAATTGACGCTCTGGAAATAGCTTTTGCTGTTACCCAGACTGAAGCTCCTGGACCCAGAAGTGAGTTGATTTTCTGTAAGAAACACTGAATTGAGAACTGTTGAGTTTGGTAAAAATGGTGCTTATTTTTGCTTTCTCATATGAATCGTATAGTTGACCGGTCTCTTCTCCATGCACATCAAATCTAACATGAATGTGCGGCAAAGTTACGTAAAGTACATCCTGCACTGAAGCTACTGAGCTTGGCTTGCTTATTAATGAAGTAAATTTTAAATGTTAAATTTAAATCTATATTACAGTAAAGTAATGCAAAAATGATTTTGGCTGAAACTGAAGTCCTGCAGTTAAACTTTCAAATGTGGTTTACCCAGCTGGAGTAATAGAAACTCTTAAGTCATAATAAACCTAATAAAAAAAGTTTAAATACAACTAATCGGGCTGCTTTGTAGTTCTTTGAAGTTTCTGGCTAACAGGGCCCATCAGGGAACCCAAACCACGATCTGGTCAGCACGATCCGGGTCTGCAGAGCAGGGTTTTCTTGAGGAGCGCGGTGTGATGGTGGCTCTTGAGGCTCGCTGCACTTCGAGGCTTTCCTTTCTACCTTCTGCGCACTGATAAAGACATGAAGAATTGGACGTACGGTTACATTTATTTGCACAAGATATTCCGCAGAGTTTAACATCCCTAATGCTTAGGAGAAGCATCTTAAGCTGTGTCACTTCAAACCTCTTTACAAAGTTGGGTGGTGCTGACTTGTCTAGTAAAGCTTTCCAATCTTTTGCAAAAGACTGTTTGGACTTAAGTGAAATTAGGTGCTTTAATTAGCAGCTTTTCCTGGTTTATGTCCCTAAACCTGCAAACTATTTTCCACTTACTTGCTCTATCTGCAAGTCTTTGAATTTCATTATGAAGGAAGGCTTTATTTCACAGGGGCTTTTAAAAGTGTGTTTTCTTTTTTTTTTTTTTTAAACTGATGTTAATGTTTTTTCACTTCCAGCTGGTGAAATGTTCCAGTGGGGATTTAGAAAGTATTTTTAAATGACTTCTAAAAAGATAAAACCCCGAAAACCGCAGCATCTTTCAGATGTTAGCCTGGAGCTAGTAATACTTTGGTGGAAATCAGGAACGCACACCTGACTTGTTCCACAGAGCAGACTGCACCAGGTGAGGGTGTCTGGGGCAGTCAGGGGGTCCTGTGGCTTGCTTGCTCCAGATCCTCTGGTTATTTAGGGTGAGGAGG